ACAGGCTATCTCGCTCTTCTACGATTCTACTGTTTCTCTCTCACCCGCGGGAATTTGACGAGCTCTTATGGCCACGTCTCTGATTACAGGGTCTCTAGGCAATCCGCGACTTGTCAGTCACCGCGTAGTCCCGTCTGGGCCGTTGAGCGGTTCACACGTCTTCCGACGGAAGATAAAATTTTTGATCCTGCGGGATTGCATCATCCGATAGGGATTGCATCATCCCGCGCGAGGCTCGGTAGTTGGGCCTCTGCATTGTGTGACACGTTAGGAGTTTTATTTCATCAACTGTAATCTCCACACTATTGCCTATTGGATAGTCATGGCCGTATCGGTTCGCTTAGTGCGACCAAGTGCCAAATAACCGGAGGAAGAAGAAGCGACTTGTCAGTCGCCGCGTGTTCTCCAAGAAAAATCGGCGGGAAACCGACTCGAAGGCCGGCGAGCGAATCACCCGGCGGTGCCTCTCTTCGGGGCGTCTTGCGTGCGCGTGAAACGCGCTCCCCGTCGAAGATCGTCTCTGGAAGAGAGATCTTTGGCACCTCTCGGGAAAGGCGGTCGCCGGTTTCGAGGCCGATCGAGACCACGCGACTCGGGGGGGAACGTGTTTTCGGGCCCATCCGGTCAAACCGCAACAGCTTGTAAACATATCTCTTGGCCCGTACATATAAAAGTGAATGATCAATTTCCTTAGGCGGTCGGGATCGCGCGAATCGACCACACGCTGCAGGCAAAAACGTCGCGGAGGAGAGGCTCTCCCTCAGTGTCACCTCGAATTCGCCGGACTGTGAATCTGCCAAGGCTGGCGCGCCAACGCGGTCGGCCGCAGAGCCGGGTCGAGACTCGAGACCCGGGGGGGTCAATTCTGTATCTTACGCTACAGTGAAAGTGCCAAAAATGAATAGCCATGTCTCTCTCTCTCTCTAACCGTCCCCTGAAGCCCGATCTACGATGCGTTCTTTGCGTCTAGAAACATTTTATCGGCCGATAAACACGTTAAAGAAACTCTGTGCATGTTGGTTAACTGTATTTACATTATACATTGCACAATCGTGCGTTGTCGACAAATTTTTTAAGCATATCGAGACTCGCCCGTGCAAAACGGAACGTTTCTCGTTGCGAACAAGATTAGACTTTGGAAAGAGAGAAAGCCGCTCACTTTTAGCAATTTCACTGTATTTACAAGATACAGAATTGTCTCCCCCCCCCCCCAAGACGCGCGCGCGCGCGCGCTGGTCGAAAATAATACTCACCCTCCGGCGACGAGGTGTATCGCCGTGTCGCGATCCAACATCCTCGGCCGTGTGCGCCGCGCAGATCCGCTGTCAACCTACGGCAGCATGCACCTCCGGCGAGACGTCGGCGGCGAGCGTGCCCGACGGCCGGGCCGTGCGAGACGAGACGAAACGAGACGGGGCGAAGCGAGGAGAGGAGAGGAGAGGCGAGGCGAGGCGAGGCGAGGCGCGCAATAAGGTCCGTGCCGAGGTACTACGTAATAACACCGGCTTCGAACGGCTCTCGGTCGATCGCGGGCGATTTACGACGCGCGACGGGCCGCGCTCTTTCGTCCTCCCTCTCTCTCTCTCTCTCTCTCTTTCCCTCGGCAGCGGCGATAACGACGAAACGGAAACGACACTCGGCACGGCACCGCGCCGTGACGCACGTACACTGTTTTTCAACGCCGCGAAACGACGAACGACTCCGGCCAACGCGACAACGTATCACGCACTACTACCGCCAGATTCCCCCAGATTCTCCGTCCCCGCTCCCTCTACTTAGCGCGCTCGCCCCCTCCATCGAGCGACGAATGTGGACGGTTGACTCCGAGAGCGCGCGCGCGCGTACTCGTTTCAAGGACGAAAAACAACGCGACCGTTTAATTCGTTCTTTGTCTCTTTCCAACTGTTCCTTTAGAAAGAGATAAACACGAATTAAACTAAAATTACGGTTAAGCGACGTTTGGTGAAAAACCGAGCCTCAGCCTAAAGCCTCGTCCACATAGAAGTGGTAAAGTCGCAGTCGTAAGAACAGTCGACTGCGATTGGTCAATTCCGTCAGGCACATAAGAATTGACCAATCATAGTCGATTATTCTTACGACTGCGACTCTGCGACTCGCATTGTAGACCACGCATCAGGCTGGGTCTACATAGGCCGTGCGTTCTTTTAGGCATCGGATACAGCAGTTTTTGCAGTAATTCATTCTTTTAGCCCGACTGCGCAGTCGACTGCACCGCAGATTTCCGTGAGGCTGGATTCAGACTGAACGCGATGAGCGATGAGCGACGAACGATATCCAATGGGCGTACAGCTTTCCCATGTAACCTGTTCGCCCATTGGATAATCGCGCGTCGCTCATCGCTCATCGCGTCCAGTCTGAATGAGCCATC